TTCGTACAACTATCGACTCTTCGATTCTTTCGCAGAATCAGATTTTTAAAATAATTGACTGGATTAAAGAACAAGATGATAAACAAAAAAACAAATCAATCGAGTGGAAGCTATTACTGCGAGGTAGTCGTGATGGATTTAAAAATACCGACTTTCATCGTCTGTATGATAATAAAGGTCCAACGATTGTTGCCATTCGCATAAAAAATGAGGAAAAGATTATTGGTGGTTATAATCCATTTGAATGAAATTCACTTGGCAGAGACTACTTCGGCTTAAATAGTTTTTTATTTAAATTTAATTCTGATGACATTCAAGCTATCAATGAAGTTCTAAGCAAATATGATCAAAAACAAGAATTGATTGTGGGATGCTATCCAAGTCATGGTCCAGCTTTTGGAGATGGTTCTGATTTAGCTCTGGTTGGTCCCAATTTTAATACTTCTAAAAATTATTGTTTTAAATGCTCCTACGACCATGGTTTGTTGAGTTCTGACATAACACAAAAGAATTTTGATATTGTGGATTATGAAGTGTATCAAGTGGGGGAGAAATAAATTTAATTTTTCGTTTTCATTTACTTTTATCCGAGATTTATACAGACAAATTATGAAAACATTAAATATTCACAACCGATTCAAGTAATTCATACATGTATTAGTATTCAATATTAGTAAACAATGTTAATTAGTCCTCAAAGTACATAAAGAGAAGTTTTCAATTTTAAACTGGTAATTTAGTTATCTACTTGATCTGAAAAGTCAGATTGTAATACATGTAGTAAATCATTAACAATATCTTCATTTTCATTGGCTAATAATGCATGTCGATATCAATTTCCAGCATACGTAGTACGTACGTAATTGATCATTAACGTTAAGTTTAGCCAATGAAGATGTATTATCGCAAATTCATTATGCAAATCTGCATAAACCCATGACATATCGATACGTATAAACAAATAAAAGCGACTAACGATAAAGCCAAGGTTTAAATAAATGAGTGTATTCTTATTTTTCTTACATAGAAATCGCTTGAAATGCATTTTCTATCTTCGACTATTCAAGAAAATTAAATATAAACGTTTTGAAATTATCTATCAAGTTATCTAAAATATAAATCTATTTGTTATGGGTATAAAAAAATTAATTTTCTCTTCAATGTATGTCTAGTAAATTCGTGACATTTATTATAAATTTATAAATGCATATACTGTATACCGTTATCGTTAAAAGGTCAACTGTTTTGAATTGCACAACTACAAAGTAGTTTATTCGATATTCTCTCTAAAATTACACCTTTAGATTATACAGGATCATTTTTTTGCAATTGATAATAGTCTATCGCTATCACTATTATTTCATTATAGTGATATTCTAATGTTATGCCTCCTACCAATATTATTGCCTTTATTAAAGAGGATTGTTCAAATATTATGCACTACAACAAACAATATAATCACAAAGATTTACAACAGATATTAGGAATAGACAAAAAATGCTAGTGGTCCGACTATACCTAAGTCATCTAAAGCTAAATGTCGTTATAAAAATCACAGAAATCAATTTACACAAGAAATAAACTTCTATAAGTTAAAGAGTACAGCTCGCGAGGCTTAATACATGTATATAGAGACTGACTACGATTGTAGTAAATGGAACTATCGCTATTGTCAACGAAATGATCGCGCTATGAATGTTTTAATTATCAATTTTATAGAAAGAATTGCGAAACCTAAAAAAAAACCTTGTCCTTGAAAGAGTTACCAATGTTGAATATCTTGCAAAGGAGGTTTTAGAACAATTTATAAAGCAATATGGTTGGTTGGGATATTGAATGGCGGGATCATGAAATCATGTGAATTATAATCAAGATGAGATAAAATGAACAAGTTTTTCAAAATTAGATCTAAAATGACATTTGAAATAATTAAAAACCCCAGCTACTGAGTAATCGAGTCGAGAAGAAACATTTAAAGGGATATCTGTGACTTTTTGGCTTAACAGATATTAAAAAAATCTAATCGAGAAATTCTTAAATTAGTCCGGAAGTGCTAAATAGAAAGCTATACACTAATCCGCAGATATTTATAGGCTTGGGATGGCTGTGTGTGAGATTACAACAGGCTAGAGAGCGGAATCATAAGACCAAATAATGTTTTCAAATTTATTACTAAAAAATGTCAGAATCCTATTCCAGAAAACAGACCAACTGCTGAGGAACTTGATAAATTTATCGACTCTATCCACTATCTAGCGAACAACAGATTAATATCCTAAATCACATGAATGGAAAAACTTGCTTAGAAAATAAAATAAACCGTTCTTACAAATATAATGAAATGGAAGTTACGTACATAGTCCTGTTCTTCAATAAATTATAGGATTGTATGAATGGAAAAAGGACAATCCTTAGTTCGGATTTATACGATGATGCGCATATTACATGTAATATGTACCATATCGGATGTATCAGTGGATTGTATTACGATATCAGTATCGGTATACATAAAATTCTACTGCAACAACAACACTAACGCTAACAATGTCCAATTTAAAAATTGCATTAGCAGAGCTAGAAAATCAATTAATCCTCTCGCAGTCAAAACTTGAATCCATCACCGATAGTTTTTTCTCATGTTTTCTCAAAGGACTGACAACAAAAGCCACTCAAAACGAGGAAAGTAACGAACATGAAGAATTAATGACTCAAGTAATGTTGCCTTCGTTTGTTTCTCGTCTGCCAACTGGAAACGAGACAGGAACTTCTTATGCAATGGATATTGGTGGGACAAATTTAAGAGTTGCCGCTGTGACTTTTCTTGGCGAGGGGCGAACGGAAATTCGACAAAAACATTTTATTATCGCTGAAGAATTGAAAACTAGTGGGGTGGAGCAATTGTTTCAATGGGTTGCTGAGAAAGTTGAAGAGTCAATCGTTGAAGATGGAATTCTTAAAATGGGTGTTACGTTTAGTTTCCCCATCGAGTGAGTTTTTAAGAAAATGTTTTTTTTTGAAATTGAAGTTGTTAAATATTAATTTATTATTTATTTTAGACAACAAACGATCAAAAAAGGAGTTGCAATGAAAATGGGAAAAGGATTCAATGTTCCAGGCTTGTCAGGCTATGATGTTACTGAGTTATTGAATTCATCGTTCAAGAAAAAGGTAAATTAGTTTTCGATTATGAGAAACTTGAAAAACACAAATACTAAAAATAATAATATAATTCTTCAAAAGAATTTAAATATCGAAATAGTCGCAATAGTAAATGACACAGTTGGTACATTAGTAGCTCAAGCATACAAAGACCCAAATACCAAAATATCTTTAATTTTTGGTACCGGAACAAATGCAGCCTGCGTTGTGCCAGTCGACGCAATCACCAAACTCGATTCGACCACCAAACGAGACAAAAAAGGTGACGACGACGACACTGTTATGCTCATTAACACCGAGTGGAGTCTATTAGGTCATGACTTTTTACCATTCACCCAATATGATTACACGCTCGACGCACAAAGCGATAAACCTAACTTTCAACCATACGAGAAAATGATGAGTGCTCATTATTTTAAGGAGTTGATCCGGTTGGTGTTACTTGATTATATTCGGAAGTTTGGATTATTTGGCGGCAAGGAAGTGGAATCGTTGTCGCATCCTTATTCGCTTAAACCTGAATTACTTTCCAGAATTCAAAGGTATACCAATAATAACTGTGCTATCACTTCCGAATTAATACTAAATTTTAGCAAAAATAAACAATAACAGCGAGAAAGACACCAATAAAGTAGCCACGATCCTACATGATGAACTTAAATTCTCACAACAGCAACTAGAAAATCCCGACGACATTATCGCCCTTCAAAAAATAATCCATTACTTCGCCACACGTGGATCACAATTATCAGCCTCGGGCATAGCAGCTCTACTCAAACTCTTATACGGCGATTACTCAAACATTAAATCAAACGTCACGTTGGCAGTTGACGGATCTTTTTATCTAAAGTATCGTGAATTTTCAGATGGAATCGATAATTATTTGTTTTCGATTTTGGGTAACAATACAAGAAATTATGTCAAATTGGTGAGTGCGGAGAATGGTGGATCTATTGGTGCTGCTATGGTTGCAATGCTCTATTCAAAATAAATTTACTGTATCAAATGACCCCTGCACATGACGTAAAGTTTTCATTCTGTGTTGCACTTAATGATGCATGAGGATACATATACATGTAAATAAAGAATTTCCGATATTAACCGTTAATATCCCCCCTTCGTTTTTTATATTTGATATCGATATATACTATAAATAAAAATTATGTCCAACTTCCTGTTGACATTCTCCACGGATATATGTCAACTTTTAACAGATTCCGAAGAATATAACGTTTTAATAGAGGCGGGTGATAAATCTGAAGGCGATTTCAAGGTTTTCTATGCACATTCGATAATTTTACGTGCTCGTTGTTCATATTTCAAGACGGGATTGTCGAATGAATGGGCAAGGAAAGAAGGACAAGTGACCATTTTTCAGAAACCAAATATTTCGCCCAAAGTTTTTAATATTATTTTAAAGTGAGATTGATATATATTTTTCTATGAATGATTATTAATAGAATCTACACTAATCTAAAATAATTTGTTAGATTTATATATAGCGGCACAATAGCATTAGAAAACGAAGATATTCCAACAATTCTCAATTTACTAGTAGCAGCAGATGAACTATTAATAAACGAAATTTCAGATTTCGTACAAGACCACTTATTAGAGCACGAATCCGCATGGCTGAAATCAAATCTCGTTCTTCTCTGGTCAAAAATACACCCATACTCATCATGCAAAAAACTTCAAGAACGATGCTTAGCTCTAATATGCAAAGATCCACTCGTACTTTTCGGCAGCCAGGATTTTTTGCATCTCGACGAATCATTATTGGTGCCTTTTTTGAAGCTGGATAATTTGCAGATGGAGGAAGTCGAGCTTTGGGATTTTATGTTGAAGTGGGGACTGGCAAAGAATCCGCGAATTGGGTCGGATGTGTGTTCGTGGACAAAAGAAGATTTTAGGGATATGGAAGCGACGTTGCGTGAGTGCATACCGTTGATTGATTTCGAACATATTTCTTCGAGGCATTTTTATGATCATGTTTGGCCATATAGGGATTTAATTCCAGAATTGACTATTGAACAAATTATTCGGTAAATTTTAAGAGGGAGGGAAATCAAAATTTTTTATTTTCCTCTTGTTTATACGTATTTTTCGATATTTAGATATAATTTTAAACCTGAAATATATCCACAAGGTGTCACGCTTGCTCGTCGCCTTCAATTTGACTCTTGTCTTATACGTCCAATTCATGCAGCGATATTGGCCAGTTGGATAGATCGACTCGGACAACGACGATATTTGCATGAAGAAATTCCCTATAGATTACAACTTTTATTAAGGTACGTGAATGCTTTTATTACATATTAATTTAATTTAGAACGCTTTTTAATCTGTATCATTGTAAATAACAATAGAGGAACACGAGATGGCTTCGACTCGAACACATTCCACAAATTATGCGACGACCACAGCCGCACAGTAGTAATCATGCGCATCAAAGGAAGCGACGAAATAATCGGCGGCTACAGTCCGACAAGATGGATGACCAACGAAGGATACTGGAACACCGAAGACAGTTTTCTCTTCTCGTTCGGTTCACGTGGCGCAATCGAAGACGCTCGTCTAAGTCGCGTTTCAAAGTCTCGTTCGTATTACGCTATACGACTGAACGGAAGCGAGCATGGTCCGTGTTTCGGGGATAAGGATTTAACGATGCGTGGAAAATTTGATGAGGAGGGAAGTTGTTCGTGTCAGAAAGATGATTATACGGAGAGTGTTACTATTGTTGGGTCGTTTGCTGTTAACGAGTATGAAGTATTTCATGTAGTTAGGAAGTGAGTCGAAGATATGAAAGAACATTTGCTTTTTTTGAGTATCGACAGTGCTATACTGTAATTAGAAAGTTGTATGTATTTGGCATGGATTTTTTCTTGACCGAATAATCATTATCGTTATCGTTAGATTAAAGCTTTTGAGGTTTAACGTTAAATATCAATATAAAGTGGATCAGGTCATTGTCGAAACTACGTATATCGATATTAAAAAACCTGTCAAAAGTCAAGACTACAATATATTGATGATTCTGTCGAAACAGATAAAACGAAAATGTCCAGGTGTATGCTATATCGTCCAAAAGAAGTACATGTACATGTATCATGGGACGAAGTGAATTCTTATCACTGTACAGTCTGTAACAAAAAAAACCGTAAAATACAGACAAAATACAAAATTGTTTAATTTGCTTTGTTCAATGCGATTT